AAGCAGAAAGCACCTTTGTGAAAATTCAAGGAAGGCACTCCTTACTCTGAATAGAAGCAGCACAAAAGATACCATTGTTAGGTGAGTGGAGCCTGGTCAGATTTCAGTCAACGAGTGCCCGTTCTGTGAGTACCCCTTTAAGTTCCAGTAGTTCAAATCACTCAGGTTTTCTTATCCTCCTTCTTTATTTGTATCTTGATTTTTGCGAAGCCTTTGCTGACTCCACATTCTATACCCACATCCAGAGAGAATCAATCATTATCTCTTCTATGTCATCCTGTGCCATTACATTTTTTATTAGTGCATTTATTATATTGTATTAGATGTATGTTTACACAACTGTCTTCCCTACCAGACTGTGAGATTTTTAATGGCAAGCTTCATGTTTTAACTCACATTTATAAATCTACTGATGAGTACTATCTAAAGAAGATAGCACTATTTTTTTAATGTTTATTGAATGAATGAATGAATTAATTAATTAATTATTCCATGCATGAATGACAGCTGGATGTATATGGATGGATAAATAAATGGCTAGATAAAATGCTTTTATAATTACCTGAAATAGCTTCTTTAAATCTTCATCTGTTAAAATCTTATACTATTTTTCTATTCAAAATCTCCTATTATATATTTCTTCTCTAATACCATTTTAACAACTCTAATTATCATTACTCATTTATTAATAAATAGTTTATTTTTCCCTGAAAAGACCATGCCCTGAAGTGATGAAGTAACTTGCCTGAGGTCACATGGTTCAAAACTGTTAGAACTGGGTTTGAAATCAGGTCTATTTAATTCAGAGTCTAAATTTCCAGCTGCTGTATTTGTTACCTCTCTTCATTTATTCACTTTGGTACTCTCCCAAAGCCAAGTGCCTTGAGTCCAGCAGCTGGTACTCAGTAAGTGGTAACTGGTCAAATTAACTAAAAAAATTTAAGTGGAGCTCTCTTCAGACAACTATGGGAATTACTGAAATCCCAACAGGGATATCTTTAAATAACCTCATGTGTCTGAAAAAGCATATTACAAATAAATCCAAAATATCCAATCACAATAAATGCATGCATGAATTAATACTATAATGTGGGTATTAAATCATTTTTAAAGTATACTATCTAATGTTACATTTCCTCCCAAACTAACACAAAACATAAGATAAGCAGTGATAAACCTTCATTCATGAATACATTAAGGCATTATAAAATTTTTCTTAACGAATGTTGCACTTGAAGGAAACATTATTTATTTACAGTGTTAATGAACTTATATAACAAACTCATTAGTTTTCTTAACTCCTCTTTCAATTCCTTTAAAATGAATTATCTCACTCTATGCATTTCTCCTATTTAATAGATGAATACGCTCTTTATTTTGAAGGCATAACAATACACAAGCATGGTCACTGGCTTGTAGAGACAGATCAGTAGGCAGGCTTCCCTCAGGAAACAGAGCTACAGAACACAAAGGAGGAACGTGTTTCTGAAAGCAGAGGAGGACTCAAAGGCTGAAGGGCAGGTAGGATCTAGACAGATGACATGAGTGGAGTAGGGGAAAGGCCCAGATTCAGGAGAAATCTTGGTGTGCTGGGGAAAATGCAAGTTGGCATCATAAGTTAAGGAGTTTGGGCTTTATCTTGACTGCAAAAAGGAGCTTCTGAAGGGTTTTAAATGAGGAAATTAGGATCAAACTTATACTCTAGAAAGATGACCCTGGTGGCAGCATAGGCTCATCGGATTTGACAAGGGAAGAAGTGGAGGCAATTTGAAGAGGTGATAGAGGCCAGAACTAAGTTAATGACAGTGTGGAGAAATAAAAATCTCACTTTGTCTATATGTTCCTTTTTAGTCTTATCACTGCTTAGCACTTTGCAACCAACAGGCAGGAAGGTGGAAGTGTTGATTTTACTTTACAGAGATTTTACCTGCCTTCCATTTCTACTCCATCTTTAAAATGCAATTCAACACTTTGTTTGACAAGTCTAAACCCTTCAGCCAAATCCAAAACTCTTACCGGTCACGAATTTTTTATTTTATATTTCAAACACTATCGTTCCTAGCAATATGTATTTTTAAAGCACGTGCACTTTTCTTTTTCATCATACCTCAAAGTCTGTTTCTTTTATGGGTAAGGAGAAGCTAAGTAAAATGACTGCTCATTTTTTTCAGTACACATTTATTATATTCAGGGAAGTAAAAAGATAAAAGTAAAGTCAAAAGAAAAACATCTTTAGAAATGCTTTCGAATGAAAATTGTGAAGTAGTACAAAACCACCACAATCACAAAGATAGTAAATATTCTCTATGTACTTTAATTTAAAATCTATAAATAGATTTAAATATTTAGAAAAAAATTAACACATGCCCTTTGCACTGTCCTTCATTCAATTTTACCTTTCAATTCTCTTTAGCATCTCTGCCTTCCCATCATTTTTAGTTCTGCGAACTGAATTCATGCATTCACTAGGTTGAAACCTAGTATAAGAGCCTTCTCTCTCATCTCCTGACTCTCTTTTCATTTCTTCAAGAAGTTAACAGATTGGTCAGTGAGATGTCTGGTCAACCAAAAATTGTATTCGGCCCCCAAAACAGGCAAATTAAAATAATCATATGAAAGAGTCATTATAGAGATAGAATTGACCAGATATACAAGAGAGAGAAGAGGAAAATAAAATTTGATAAAAAGTTCCTAAGTAAAGATGTACACAACAGTGTTATTTTATATTAAGAAAAAGGTGTGTGTGTAAACACACTAGTGTAAATCTTCCAACCATATTTTCTTTAGAAGTATCTCTTATTCTGAGACTGTGTTGTTTCCCACTTCTCTCATAAACTTCCTTACTAATATATTTCTTGTATATATAATATAGTAAATGTTATAACATGTTTAAGGGCTTACTTTAATGCCATTACACAGTGAAATAAGAAGCTGTCAGTCCTATTTTGGTTTTGAAATTGATTTGAAAACTGTATTAGTCTGAGTAATCTAGAAATCAGTAAGCTAGAAGTCTGAACAGGGGTACCTGGGTGGCTCAGTCAGTGAAGCAACTGGCTTCCGCTCAGGTCATAATATCATGGTCTGTGAGTTCGAGCCCTGCATTGGGCTCTGTGCTGACAGCTCAGAGCCTAGAGCCTGCTTCGGATTCTGTGTCTCCCTCTCTCTCCGCCCCTCCCCTACGCATTATCTCTCTCTCTCTCTCTTTCTCAAAAACAAATAAACATTAAAAAAAAATAGAAATCTGAGGAACACTGATGTAGAGGATTTCAAGCTGGGTACCAGAAACGTTAAATACTGGAGGTGGAACAGGTTCGGGAGCACATATTTAGTTTAAAGCAGCGAATGAGAAGTGTAGGTAACCAAGTGGAGATGTCCAGTGAGTCTGAAATATACATCAGCACACAAGTAAAGATTTCCAGAGGACAGCTGGAACATGGAAGAACACAGATGGAAACACAGATGAGAGAGTTATGCAGGAGAAGGTGCAATGGGGATCCTTGAGAGTACTGTGACAATAAGTAAAATGAGGAAATAGAACTACAGGGTGATAAGTTTTATGACGGAAAGAGCAAAAGGAGCCAATTTAGGAGTCCATCCTAGGCAGTCAAACAGCTCCTCTGTGTACGTCTGAGGCCATGGGGACTCTCCAAAGTACAGGTGCTCCAGAGACTGGAGCTGGAGCCACAACCAGCTTTTCTGCTTTGGGTTTCCAGGTTTCTGCCTGTTAAATTGCATTCCTTTTCCTTTTTTTTTTTTTTTTTCCTAGCCTAGTTCCTTCTGACTTATACTGATTTGGAGAGCATTATTAATTTTACATTTGTCATCTCCACAACACATTGTTTCCTAAATCACACTTTTGTCCCTATGCATGACCCAGAGGCTGGTTACACTCGTTCTTAGAGCCCTGTATTTCTGGGATACCATATTATGCCCAAACCACAACATCCCAAGCCCCACTACTCAGAGACGCTGGGCTGAGGTGGGAATAGGTCAGTGAATTGAGCCTAAAAAGATGATATAATCAGTACTGGGTCCAGGCTCTACCTAGTAGATAAGTAGTTCCTGCCCAGATTACAGAAAAAGTAGGGGGACAACCAGAAAAGACTAAATGGTCATGGCAAAGTGGAAGAAAACTATTCAAGGAAACATTAAAGACAAAGTAAATTTTATTACCATGTGAGAAACAAAGAAAAGAAACTGAAAGAAGAGAGGCAGACAGCATGTTATGAATAGGGAGTCTTTCCTGAATAGGAAAAAAAGAAGAATTTTATTAACAAGAGCAAATTTTTCCAGAAACATTTTATATAAAGGAGATCACTATATCTGTGTTTAATTAGATTATAGAGCAAGAAGAAAACAAAGCATTTTGTCAAAAAGTAAGACAACTGAGGTCTAGTAATTATGGCTTTTTTCCCCCACGACCCTCTAGTTACTGTAAGAGTATGTTTGACTTTATATTTTATCATTTTTACATTCTGCATTTGTATCATGAACCTAACTAGTGAAAAATTACAATTGAAATTTATAAAATACTTGTTTTCTTTTCAATTAGGTACATAATTGGTACACAATTAGGTACATAATTTGGGAAGTGGATAGGAACTCATCTGATTCAAATGGACAGACAACATGGTATTCTGGACTGTGTAAGATCATTAGGAATATAGATCTTATCTGCTATCATCTTGTGTACCATCCAGATTTGATAAATGTATTATCTATGTGTTTAAGCCATTAATAAATATTTTGAAAACAGCAGAACTAGTAACTTCATGGCATTTCCCTGTAGAAATGCACACTGAACTCTCAATCAATTAAACAGTTCTGCTATCCAGTCCATGTTAAAAAAATTCTATCCAACTTAATATACGTATATAATGTATTTCATATATGGTTATTATATGTCATATATAAATGCTGTCATGAATGAGTAGCAAAAATAAATGAGGAAGTATGCATCCATTGGAAAAAAATGGCTGAAAGTGATGGCAAATGCCTACCTGTATATATTTGTGAATGTACCAAGAAGCCTGCTTTCCATCATTCACTGATTCCACTGTAGTGTTAGCCACACCAACAATATCACCACCTGCGAACACCCATGGTTCACTGGTTTGCATAGTTTCTGGATCTACTTCTGGGAGATTCCATCTGTTAAATTTTAGAGGGCTCAAGGCTTCTTTTACTGTAAGAAAAAAAAAGTGAAAGATAAGAGGGAGGCAATGACTGATTTGTGCATCACATAACAATAATTTGAAAATTAAAAAAATTATGACTTAATTATTGTTCTAGGGACTCAAACAACTGGTTTTAATGAACCATAAAAATGGAAAGTTAATGAAATATCTGAGTTAATAATATATTCAAGGCATACTGATTTAACCAATTCAAAGTATACATCACAGGTAGGTATTAAAGACTACATATTTGGGCAATACTTCAGCTCTGGTATTTATGTATAAGAAGTACAGATCCATGAAGAAGGAAAGTACAGCCTTTCACATGTTTGAATGTGCATATAATCCATTTAAATCCCTTTAAATGAATATAAAATGAATTTTCTAAAATTTTGTTTGTCTATACCATTATTTTCACAAATACGATATCACTCATAAGATCCTAAATTTGTTCCTGTGTGTCACAGATGTAAGTTATATTGTGAATTTGGGTGAATGGCCAGTCTCCTTTCACAACAAGAAATTTTATAAACAAAACAAAGCCTTCTACATTTTCACCAAATTATTCGCACCTAATGCTAAACAATTTGATGGACCCACAATATATCTACATAAGCCATCAATTTCTTTTTAAAAATTTTTTAAAAGTTTTACTTATATTTAAGAGAGAGAGACAGAGCATGAGCAGGGAAGGGGCAGAGAGAGAGATGGAGACAGAATCTCCATCAGTGCAGAGCCCGAAGTGGGGCTGGAACCCACCAACCATCAGATCATGACCTGAGCCGAAGTCGGATGCTTAACTGACTGAGCCACCCAGGTGCCCCTCAATTTCTTTTTATTTTATAGAAATCAACAAATGCAAACACTACCATTGGTTCCTTGTGGAAACTGCTCTATAAAAGAGTTTTAAGTTATTTGCTGTGCTCCAGTAAATCTAAATGTGTCATGGAAAAGGAAGACTTTGAGTTCCTTTAAGAAAAATATCTAAAGTGGGGCGCCTGCGTGCCTCAGTCCGTGAAGCGTCCCACTTTGGCTCAGGTCATGATCTCACGATCCATGAGTTCGAGACCCGTGTCTGGCTTTGTGCTGACAGCTCGGAGCCTGGAGCCTGCTTTGGATTCTGTGTCTCCCTCTCTCTCAGCCACTCCCCCGCTCATTGTCTGTCTCTTTCTGTCTCAAAAATAAACATTAAAAACAAATAAAAAAAAAAAAGAAAAATATGTAAAGGAATCTTTGAGTAGACACATAATCCAGATATTTGGAAGAGATCACAGAATGTAAGTTATAGAAAGGGTTTAACAAGAGAAGGGCATAAAGGTAGATAGCACCATATATAATGGAGCAAACTGAGCCAGTGTTTAGGATTAAATGTTCTCTCCAGGTTTTCCTGTCATGGATTTTAAGTACAGCATCTCAAGACAGACTTGTGGAGCTAGTCTTTAATTCAAAAGAGAATATAACAACTTAAACTAAAGAGACTGTAAGATTTTGGAACACAAAAGTTAGTTGTTTAACAAATTAATGAGTTAGTTTAAAGGAAAATAAGCAAATGTTAAAAAAATGTTATTCTGATATCTAAAACCATTTCTTCTCAATAAAAATGGAAAAACAAGACACAAAAATAAACCTTTGTAGTTTTTCTACTTGAAAAATATTAGAATTTTAGAAAACTATTGAGGAATTACTTTGTGTGTTCCCTACAAGACTGTAGGTTCCATGAGAATAGCAATGTGTCCATGCTATTGGGTACTGTACCACAAAGCCTAGTACAGTACTTGTAGCATAAGAGACACACAATTCAGTAGATGAGTGAATGAATGAACGAATGAACGAGCAGCTGGATTAATGCTATTGTGCTCAGGTTTTTATTCAAAAATCTAATACTGTTTATATCTCTGATGTGATTTCACCTTTCACCGAGAGTAAAATTAAATATTCATGTAATTATTTTCAATGCAGAATGGCATTTTGAGAAGATTTTTCTAATGTCTTTAAAGGTCACATGAAAAGACACCTTTATCATTTGTTCCCCACATCATAACAGATCATCACTACCATCTGTTGATAGTTATCTGAGTTGCAAAAAAGTCAATGGTGAGTATGGCTTGTCAGTTCAACCTGTTGTAATAATGGTAACTGGAACATACCGTCATTGAATGGTTTATGTAATGGGAAATAGAGTAAAAAATAATTCTCCTGTATAAGAAATGACCTTATTTGTCCAAGACTTTGGTACAACTTTGCTCTATATAGAGAACTGAAATAAAGATTTTTAAATGAGAAGGAATTCAAAATTATTTCACCAGGAGATCAAAGCCCTTTTATACATTTTTCTCATTTTTTTACAGAAGTATCCTTGAAGGTGAGCACAGATTTCACTCTAAGCTTGAGCAAGGTAGGGATTATGCCTTAGTTATCTTTGATTTCCCTTAGCAGCTATTAGAGTCAAAGACATATATACTGTGAAGTTATTGAAGCTTAAGCTTCAGGCTCTCTCACTTGCATGGTCCTTTTTTAAGGCCCTGTGCCTAAATTTGAATTTGTAATTTTTTTCTTTTAGATAAAAGAATCCTCAAATTATATAAGCTTCAGGCCTCATAAAAGTTAAACTTACCATTAAATACAGTGCGTTATACACAATAGGTGCTGAATAAATGCTCATTGAATTAAACTGAAGTTCTTGATTAATGCATTTTATAATTTCTTATGACTTAAAAATGTAAATAGTATGATTTACTTTACTATTAGAGCTCTATCACTAACTCAGTCATTAAGTAGTTAGGAGATGTTACTTAAGTTTAATAAGTAAATCTTGCATTTCTTAAAATATTTAGCACCAATACCATAAGCCACCTAGGATCATTTATTTGTGAATTCAAAAGCACAATTCTATTCATGGGTCTTTCCATTATGTATGTATTATTTTATGTCCCTACACACTCATACATACTCATGTTTACTCTTGAAACATGCTATTTCCTCAATATTTGATTCATTTATACCTTGAAGACTTGGGCCTGAATATTAACTGTTTTAATTGTTTTATTATTTGTGATATCCAACTAACCTCACTAATAATCAAACAACTCTCTGATACTGTGTGCCAAAATAGAAAGGATTTTTCTTTTGTATTGAAAATTATTTCAGCCCACTTTTATTTATTTATTTTCTTTTAAAAAATTTTTTTTTCAACGTTTATTTATTTTTTTTGGGACAGAGAGAGACAGAGCATGAACGGGGGAGGGGCAGAGAGAGAGGGAGACACAGAATCGGAAACAGGCTCCAGGCTCTGAGCCATCAGCCCAGAGCCTGACGCGGGGCTCGAACTCACGGACCGCGAGATCGTGACCTGGCTGAAGTCGGACGCTCAACCGACTGCGCCACCCAGGCGCCCCTTTCAGCCCACTTTTAAAAACTATCTACTCAATTTTCCCCCTAATCTTTTTAGAGGCCTTCAAGTTTAGCATCTCCATAGTTTGATTTAAAAAATAAATAGAAAAAAAATGAGGTTAAGCAGTTGGTTGTGATGTTATTAAATATTACAGCAAAGCTTACATCAGTCAAATTAGAGATCATTTGTTTCCACTTTAATATCTAATCTTTTGACTTGTTGATACCTACAAAGGATCTTTGGAAAAACAAAGCATGGACAAATTTATATGAATATAAAATTCTACAGTAGGTAAAAAAAAATGTTTTCTATCAGTAGCACTAAGCAGCTAATGCAAGAATGAGTATTCATTACAACTTGAACATCAAATGATTAGGATCATTTCCCTGTTGGCACAGTGGACTCTATATTTAAGTAGATGATCTATATCTGTGTATGTATGTATATGTGTATTTCAGCATTTACAATAAAATAGAGGGAAAGCAATGGGGGGAGATAATCCATCAATTTATTGAAACTTTGACTCAGTTTATGGATCCAAATAATACCTTTTATGACTTCAATGACTCTTTTGAGATATAGCAGTTATTTCTATTATTTAACCATATTTTGTAAGCTCCAAAGTATTCAATTTAGAACTGAAATCAAGGATTCAGTGGAAAAAAATCCATGTGCATATTATGCATAATTTGTCAAAAAGAAGTTCTTTTGTTTAGCTGTTTCTTACGAGGAAGACTTTCATCCTCCTCATCATTGTAACTATCCTTCTATGAACTCCTCACACACAGCTCACTTACATCTCTGCTGATACATTTAAGTTGAAATACAATGAAAATAAATCTCAGAAGCACATCTTCTGTTCTGCCTTTATCTAGCTTGGAAGGAGTGAAAGCATAAGTGGATGAAAAATGTATATTTACATTTGCAAACCAAATAACTACTTGCTATTTCCTATGAAGTGTTAAATGAATATTAATAGAAGGACTGTATTTTTTTTCTTCCTTGTTTATAAAATAACAGGATATGAGCACTTTCACCACAGATTTCCATGAGATTGCATCTTGATGGAGACTGCAGCATATGTCCCAATAGCTCCAGAGTTGAACAGAAAAAGAACTTGAAAAAGAACCCTAAAACATGCTTATTCACAGTCTATATTATTCTGCAAATGGGAGAGAAATGTGTTAAGTGATATGGTGCCTGGAATTTTATGCAGTCCTTAAAAAGAACGAAAACATCCTTAATTCATACCAAACACTCAAGATTTATGTTAATTTTCTGCTTTAATTACTACTATGTTCGAATGAGCTTATTTAAAAAACAAAGACACTCCGAGGTAGCTTTAAAACAAGAAATGGTTTTGAAATAGGAACTTTTAGTCAATTTAATGTTATGCATGAAATGATTTTTTTATATAGACTTAATTGTATTGTGACACACAAGTTCTTCAATAAGCCACAGCTTAAAATTGCAGAAACCGTCCCTCAGGGACACATCACTAGCAGATGCAGATTGCCAAGGTCAATTAAACTGATGTAGCTGTGCTGTCATATACGTAGAAGAGAAACCCACAAGCATATGACAAGTATATTTCTCAGTATTTATAAAAAGATGTCA